TCTCTGTCTCTGTCTCTCTCTCGACTATATTCATCTTTTCTCACAGCTCATGAAAACAACCTTTAAACCCAAGCAATGTTTTTTTATTAGCTTTTGATCTATGACTTCAACTTCTTTTGAATTGTCTTGAAAGATAATTCTTTCTTTTCTGTCCTTATTTCAACTTGCATTTCTTTCTACATGTTGTCAAATTACATTTCATCAATAATTCAAATAATAGTTGTACCGTGTTACCTGCTTTATAATATCAATATTATATATTTTGATGATGGCTTTCAATCACACTAATTTTAGTTTAAGGCTGGGATATAATTATGAATAATACGGCTTAATAGTATTATTTCCAAATGGAACTGGATTTGTTGTCTTGGAAACTAAGTTAATTTATACTGAAAATGTAAGCAATGCTACTTGGAAGTAAGACCCTGACTTTAAAGAAGGAGATCTTCCTATTTATTTTTCTTTGGATATGAGGATGGAGTAGAAGGATGTTTTCTCTTTCTCTTCTCTTCTCTTTTGCTTAATTCATTTTAGGACCCAAAATTGTCCTATCTACAGAGCATCTTTTTCACTACAACAGTGAAATTTACTCAGATATTTTCTTTTCACTTCCATACTTACTGTAAAGAAATAGGCTAGCATTTGTGATTCCCAGTTTGTTGGTAGCGACACAGGTATAGTTGCCATAATGTTCTTCAGTGACATTGGTCACTGTCAGGAAGGACTGGCTCCCTATGCTCCTGATCTCCAGACCATTGGCACTATTTATCCTGAGAATCAAGAAAAGTCAATGGTAAATACAGTAACACTTTGTATTCTTTGTATAGGGTAAGTATGAGGATTTTAAAGTTCAATGCAGACTGCAAACAGATATGGAATGAGATGGTTACTTTGATACAGACAGGGGATTATATGAGAATGAAAGGGAGAAAACTATGAAAGTTACAGATTTTTTTTATCTACAAGTTCATTCTTGTTTTTTTAATCATCTTTTTCATTAATTCATAAATAATGTGGTAAGATTTGCCTTTTACATTGCTCTACCCCTCTTCTTTTTCAATTCCTCCCCCCATAATTCACTATTTTTCTAGCTGTCATAATAGCTATGCGAGTATTTTTCAACAAACACAACAAAGAATCTTGTGGTATTTAAAAAATTAACCATTTTATTGTATCAGAATGTAGACACAATCCAGATAGACCTTTCTCATCTTAAACTTCCAAAACTGCACTGCAAACCTTTATTTAGAAGCCTAGCACTCCCTTCAAATATGTGTGGAGCTTGTATTCAAAGCACAACTGATTATTATACAGATACCATACCTGTGTTTGTTGCTAACTTGTGGTCATACGGCTAGTGGGTGGAATGTTGAAAGAAAAAAAGAAGATGAGTGATGGAATTTTTGGAAAGTGAGCATTGAGTATAAAGAGAACATTTTTAAGCTAGACATCAGAGACAACAGAAAGAAGATAAATAGCATAATTACCTAGTGTCATCTCTGTACCATTCAAAATCAGGCGTGGGCACAGCAGAGGCTGCACACTTAAGTGAAACCGGCCGCCCTGTAGCAGATACATTGCTCTTGGATTCCGTGATAGTTGGCGGGTCTGCAGGAGAGAAAGACTGGCTTATATCACTCATGCTATCAATGTGTGCCTAGTTGGAGCCATTCAAATATGCATATCTTCAGGCTTAGTTATGAACCACTAAATGGTTCCTAGACTAGAAGCCTATATACACATTTTGTGAATGAAATCCACAAAATCTTGTGGGATGCACTGCATTTCTTAAAAAAAATATTATGGGTTGTAATAATAGTAAAGAATAAAAATATGAAAAAGATGAGTGTACGGGAGAAAAAGCAAATCCCATAGTGATTTGTCTAATATGAAATGTTGCTTTTATAGTGGTAGCATATAGATTTTGGTTGTCAGTCATTTTATGCAATAAAGGAAAGAGTCTTTTATCATATTATTCCAGCATTGCTCTTTGTGAATGCCACTTCTAAAACCACCCACATTTGGATCCTTTTAACTAGAAATGTATAAACTGAGTCTGTGATCATAAATGTGTATGCTTATTCACTGAGCTATGGCCCTTTCTTACTGCAAACTTGAAGGACCAACTTCTCTAATGGCCTCTACATAAATTAGATCTCATAATTTGCCTCTTGCTACTACATATTTTAAAGGAAAAACAACAACTAGAATGAATAAATCAAGGGTAAAGATATCAATCCTAAAATGAAAGAATAAAAGATTATGCACAACTGATGAAGCAAACTATGCCTTCTGTGGTTGCACATATTTGAACCCAGTTTAAGCCTTCCTCTGCATACATACTATGATCCCATTCTGATTTTCACGCATAGTTCCACATTAATTTTGAATTTATTCTTTCAACATTTCTGAAATTACCCCATGGCCTATACTGGTGAATAATAGGATGGACTTGGGTAGAATTGGCCAGAGTAATTTTAGGCAGTGAATGAACATTTCAATTAAATCAAAGGTAGCTCCTCAGGAAGAACTAATTTCCAACATTTTTTTCCACAGGTTATTAGTATCCACAACTTCATCATCCACATAGAAAATCACTAAGTGCTAGATTTGCAATTGAAGTGCTATGGTAACGTTGCACATTTTTATTTCTAGCTACTGTTAAATAAAATGTGCAATGACAGCTCAAATAAATAAAGGCCTTTAGTGTGAGCTTAAATGTGTGTATTTGAGTCTATTTTTAATGCAGATTTCTCTTTTTCCAGTGTTGCATAAGCTTCAGTTAAATAATAAAGACAACATTTACAACTGGGATATTTTTGGCCTCATTATCAGGTTCCACCACAAAATTGCGGAGGACAAAATCGCGCTCGATGAAAGTGCGCATTTGATGTCATCACAGCGCGACGAAAACATCGCGCTGTGATCGAAAAATGTAAAAATAAAGCTAAAACCTTCCCCTAACCCCCCCAAACCTAACCCTAAACCTAACCCTTAACCTAACCCTAAATCTAACCCTAAACCTAACTCTTAACGTAATGAAAAACCTAACGCTAACCCTTAACCTAACGCTAAAGCTAACGCTAACGCTGTAAACGTGACCCTAACCCTTAACCTAATCCTAACCCTAACCCTTAACCTAACCCTTACCTTTATGTGAATCGGCTTGCTTTAATTTTAATTTTATTTCAATTTTTAATTTTTTTCGTCGCGCTGTGATGACGTCACATGCGCGCTTTCGTCGAGCGCGATTTTGTCCTCCGCGCTTTTGACGGGTCACGCATTATCATCCCTAAAACCTGAATATAAGCAACCATGCTCTATAGAATTTATTGAAATCACACTAGTAGGCAGTTGAACAAGGTTTATAAAACCTTGCTTTTGCTTTGTGAAAGCAAAAGAATCAGTACTCGGATATTAGATATGATTTGATGACTTTTAACCTTCTACTTTCAATGTATCTTTTTAAATTGAGTAATTCTTGGATTTTAGAGCAACCTAGCCCTAATTTGTATGTTCTTACTTATGTTACTCACATTGCCAATACTCTCAATCTTCTTATACTAAATAAATTAGTTTGCAGTTGTACTTCTTTCAATGCAATAAATGTTTTCGTAATTGTGATGTTCATTATAGTAGCAATAATGCTTGTACTGAAGTTTTTATTTGAGTTCTATGCATGCATGTATGTATGTATGTGCTGTCAGAAGACAGCAATTTCAGCATTTTATATTAAATTACCGAGATACTTTCTGTACCTTGTCTTTCCTCTATAATAAATAGAAGTCATATGTTTGTTAAGAAAAAAAATCAGCTAACATAATAAACAATCCAAAAGAAGTTATTGGAGGAAGGCTACAATATTTTATACTGCAATTCCATCTAGGTATACATACGGTAGATGTTTCAGCCTTTAGTGGATTTTATTCAATTTTTTTGTGGGAATATAAATAATTTCTATTTGAAATCCAGTGCAAATGAAATCAAGGTAAACTTTTTCTTTTTATGACTGTTATGATTAGGAGTTTGTTATATGATTCAGAATACCAATCATAATAAAATAACCCTGAGAATATACTGCTTCTTTGATTTCTTTTTTGTCACCATTTATTTATTAAAACATTTTAAATAATAACAAAAAGGTGAAAAGAAAAAAAGCAAGGGATAAAAGGATATACAATAACATTAAGTAAGCAGAGAGTTTATTGTAATAAAAATTAAATTGCAATATTGTATTAATGTATGAATGGATTGTATCAAACTGAGAACATTATGTCATTGAAAATAAAAATAAAAATATTTACAAAACCCTGAAAAATATTATCGCTACTATTTATTTTTATTCTGAGAAGAAATTAACATATTCATAATCAAAAGAAGGAAAAAAGAAAACATTATTAGAAAACTACCTGCTTTCAAAGTACTAGTCTCCTTGTACCTGACTTATAGTTACAGTCAACATGTTTATGAGTATTTAATATTGTTTCTGATAACCATCCTTGTACTCTTGTGGGTTTTAATTTTTTAATAAGTATGTTTAAAATGATAGCACTGGTATTAAAAAAGTGCAATTTCTCAGGCAGAAAATATCTATTACATGCATAATCACATACATAAATCCTAATGAATCAAAATAATGTTCAAAGTGACAATCTGACTGAAAGTAAATAAGACCAATGCTATTCTACATCATAATATCTACAGTGCACTTTCCTTCTTCACATACTTTTCTTTCTCATGCCATAAACTCAAGTGACAATGATCATATAAAGCCCCCTCCCTCGCCTGGAAACTAAGAAGAAAAAAACCAGTTTGGTTTTTTAGGAGCAGAGGATATATGGAAGGACAGAGCAACATTTTTCATCTTGTCAACAGAAGTTAACAGTTTGAATCAAATAGGAAGCAACTAAATCCAACAAATAAGAACTTTTCTTCAGAAAACTTCTGTTTCTGTAGAAATAGCTAAGATGTCTATCCAGGATTTTTATTTCAATTTTTAGTTTGTGCTAAATCCTGTATTCTTTATTTTTCTGTCCTAGTTAGGGAATTGGGCATAATTTTAGCCTTTCTTCATCTTTAAGGTTGTTTTCAAAAGCAGTAAGTTTTTCTTTAGAATCTCTTGTGATGTATAATAATACAGTGAAACCTCTCTAATATTTTGTCAGAGATTCTGGCAGAAAGACCACTGTTTGTAACAGAACAGTCCTCCCGTGGGATTTATCTGAAATTTATTTTTTCCACATCCACTATTTTCATTTTGATATTTAATGTTTAAAGGGGGCTTTACATGTTTATCTTCTTTTAATTAAGCTTTTGCTTATTTCCTCTGTGATTGGTTTGATCTCTCAAATGCACGGAAAGAAAAGGTTGAATCCTTTGTTCACTATGTTTATATTCCATACAGTCAGCAAGTAGCATTACAGATATAGTTTCTACTTTTGTACTTTGATCTTTTAATTACCCAAAGTGAACCCTCTCTCACAAATACCAGGAGTGAGGGATGTCAATTAAAGGTGCTTTCTGGAAGATAACTGATGGCAACGAAAACTACAAGCTACCACTCCAAAGCAAAAGAGGACTAGAAGATGCAAAGGTTTCTGGAAAAAGAGCTTACACATCACCAGAGGACCACAACGATCTGCTACAATCTAGTATGATGCACTTCAAATGTGCATCAATTGCCATAATCCACATGAGAAAGCTTTTTACATGTTAATTGCTGGCTCTGTTATTTGAAGTTAGCTACTTCAGGAAGGCACCAGGTTGGAATAATCTGGAACAAACAACATCATGATTCCTAGTCAGATTTGATCTTTTTATGTTTAGTTCCTACAAACACATTGGTCTTGTTTGTTTTTCTAAAAAAAACTATGAATTCTGCTAAGCCTAGTAGGACTATATTGGCCAGAGCATGTCTTGAATTCTTTACAGGTAGTTCCCGACTTACAACTTGCTTAGCAACTGGAGTTACAAAAAAAAAGGAAACAAAAAGAAAAGCAACCTTACAATCCAGATTCAAAGTTCTGATGATCACCTCCAGATCATATGATCAGATTTTGGGCACCTGGCAACCGGCACACATTATGGCTGTTTGCAGTGTTCCACAGCCACGTGACTATGATTTATGACTTTTTTCTTGCCAGAAACTGGCATTTATTTCTAAAACCCCATCTATTGGGTTCACTTAACAATACAATAGTGTTTGCTTAATAACCATGATGTTTTGCATAACCACTGTAAAAAAGCTGTAAAATCAGGCAAGGTCATCTGATGATCCACTCAACAACCAGCATGAGTTACAACTGTAATTCTAGGGTCAATTATTACTGCAAGTTGAAAACTCCTGTGCCTAGTTTTAGATATCAGACTCAGAAAGATTCAAACTGGAACAAATCCAAAGAATGTCATGAGAGTGATCATGGAACTGTAAATTAAATCTTAGAAAAATATATCACTTGGAAAAAGATTACACTGATCTGGTTTACGATAGTGTTCTTCAAATATCTGAAAGGATTCAGACTAAAGGCCTTATATCCTTGGTCATTACAGAATACTGGACACAGGATAATGGCATAAATACACATGTCAGTTGAATGTTATGAAAAACTTTCTAACAGTAAAACTATTTGACAATTGAATAAATTACTTAGGATGGCAGTGAGGTGCCCTTTACCAGCTGCCTTCAAGCACAGGCTGGTGATAGATTTTTTTTTGCTTGGAATGCTTTAATTTGTACTTCTGCACTAAATGGAGGGTTGAATTTGGTGATTTAATACTTTTGAAGTCTCTGATTGTGTGACTTCAGCACAAATTACATATGATGAAGTTAAGGATCAAAAGTAGCTTACAGAGCTACTGATACCATGCTTTTTTAATATACAATATATACAATTAAGAGATCTAACCCTAACTGAATCTAAGAAGCAGCGTGTATGAAAATAATTTCCACAGATGCTAGTCTGTCTAATTATCTATGATCACCACCTGCTGTCTCTTCCTCATTCAGCAGGGTCCCTGATCCTGTAGATTTTTTACAAGGTGCTTTTGGTTGCTGAAGAAAGCACTGAATGGGAAGGTCATCTTCTAGCAGCCCAATCCCCTGATTCAGGCAGATCTCTGGATGTAACACAAAGTGCTTAACAATTTACATCTGCTGTAGCCTTATAAAAAGAATAATATATTCTAATCAAACAGATGCATGCATGCATATGCACATTATAGTTGACTATGACTCAGCTGTGTCACTTTTACATCTAGACTCTGAGTAGTTAGTTAGAAAAAGAGCCTTTGTTGTTGTATTGCTCTATATCTCATTTAAGAACTATAATTAATACGTTCTTTTTATGCTTTAACCTCCACACTTAGTATTTGGCCAGTTCTGCATCAGCATCTGAGAACATCTATGTTTTTACAACACTATCAAGTTTTTTCACTTCTTCTATAACTGAATGCAATTAACTTCAAGGTCAGAAACAAAACAAAGAACCTTCTGCAACATAGATACAGTTGCAAGAAAAAGTATGTTATGTGCAATTAAACCATGTCAACATCTAATGTTTGTGTAGTACTATTTTCAGCAGACTGTGTTTTTCTATTGTTGTGACTTAGATGAAGTTCAGAGCACATTTTATGACCAATTCATGCAAAACTCCACGTAATCCCAAGGGGTTCACATACTTTTTCTTGCAACTGTATATGAGACTCTGAATCTTGAGGAACTTTTTCACATCAGATATGGGAATAGCTTGGGGGCAAATGAGGAAGGGAATTATTACTGGAATCTTCTTATATGGGCCACCCTACGAAGAAATTTGAATCAGAGAGGTGCTAGGAAAAGAGGTTCCTACTGAAAAAACTTTATGCTAGTGATTCTTTCTGAAAATACTTGCACAAGGGGAGAAACTCCCACATGGAGTATAT